TGTGTGTGTGTAAATGTGCGCGCGTGTACTCCCCAGAAACTTCTTCACTCTCTACGGACGAACCTCTATTGCACCGACCATCATCTGACACGCACCGATGGAATAGTGAATTTGGCCGGTTACTGAAAAACCTTAAATTGAAAAAAAATTCTTTAAAGTAAAAAACAAGCCATTGGAAAAAATAGTCAACTTATCTTATTGAGATGACACTCAATCCTTTGTTTAAATTCGAGTACTTTCAATGGTACGATGGAACAAAAACAAATTTACCTTTAGTATTATCTTCAAATTGTCATCGGAACGATCATCATGAGATCACCATCTAAAACGTGCTGACGCCCACCACAGCCCACCTCTTATCATTCTGTAGACAAGTTATTTTTATTAGCGAAGTAGTAAATCAAGGAACAAATGAACGAACGAATAAATGATTAACTGAATGATTGAATAATCGGTTGAATGAATGGATTAACTAATTAATTAATGAATGATTTAATGAATGAATAGAATGAATCAATGAATCAATTGGTGGAGGAATAATTTGAAAGATAGTGATAAAAAGAATAAATGAATGATAAAAATAAAAATAACGAAACTAAACCATACCTCAAAAATCGTCGTTGTTTTCTTCGAATTGTCATCGGGAGAATCATGAGACCACCATTTGAAACGTGCTGACGCCTACCACAGCCCACCTCTCATCATTCTGTAGACAAGTTTTTTTTATAAGCTTAGTAGTAAATCAAGGAACAAAGGAACGAACGAATATATGATTAAATGAATAATTAAATAATTAGTTAAAAGAATGAATGAATGAATAAAATGAATTAACGTCAATTAATGGAGGAATAATTTGAAAGATTGAGTAAAAAAATGAATGAATGAGAAAAATAAAAAAAAAACGAAACTTAACCTTACTTCAAAAATCGTCGTTACTGTAATCCATTGCACCGACTACTACCATCTGGTCGGCACACAAGATGTCATCCGAACTTCAGAGTGTCAGTCGAACAGCCAACAAGCTGATTCTTCCTACACCACCATCCTCATACGTAAATCATCATGAGACCACCATCTGAAACGTGCTGACTCCCACCACTTCCCACCTCTCATCATTCTGTAGACAAATTTTTTTATTAGCGTAGTAGCAAATGAATGTTAGATTCTCAGAAGCAAAAAACTATAAAATGAAAATAATGTCAAATAAATAATATTTTAAAATAATTAAGAGAGTAAAAATGTAAAAATAACTTACCGTGGTCTATTCCACAAAGGCAGTATGTTGAATGCGGTCCGGTTCCTACGTTGTCCTCCAAAACTGGTGCCAGAGATTGTTGTTGAAACAGTCCGTGTTGATGGAGAAAGATAGAGAAAGAGTAGATTCTCATCAGAAAGCTTAGCGGTGCTTGCATCTCAAATTGTTTAATAAAAATAATCCTATCTACCTATTCAATTACCTTAACTAATTTATATTAAATTGTTAATGGTACGATAGTCGAAAGTCCCCCTTCATTCTCCCTCCTTGCACAAATGTTCACCGACAGCCAGGGCACCGGATAGTAAACCATTGCCGTGCGGATAGTAGACTATTGACGTGCGGATAGTAAACCATTTGCCGTCCGGAAGCCGTGCGGGTAGTAGACTATGGCCGTACCGCATAGTAAATCATTACCGTGCAGATAGTAAACCATTGCCGTCCGGATAGTAAACCATTGCCGGTTCACCACTGGCCACCAAGGCTTACCTCTGACAAGGGACTTCGAAATTCAGAGTCTATCGGCTATCGTACCCTCAACTTACTTATTCATTACAATTAAGCCCTAGCTTACCTAAAATTACAAAACTCAAGAGCCCAATTCATTGGCCTTTCGGCACCCACCCCACCACCTACGTAATGCCTTGGGCTCCAACTTAGTAATAATATTATAAAACTTAAACTAAATCTATTAATGAGTATGTGTTACAACGTAGCCTTAACTTACCTATTCATTACATTATGGCCATAGCTTACTTAAAATTACAAAACTCAAGAGCCCAATTCATTGGCCTTTCGGCACCCACCCCACCACCTACGTAATGCCTTGGGCTCCAACATAATAATAATATAAAACTTAATAATTAACTTACCTATCGATACACTTACAGCGTTTTAATTTACATTACAAGATTGTTCCTAGAATTACATTATTTCCCTTAACTACCTATGAAATTAATTTACTCTCAACCTTAGTAATAATAAATTAGAATGTGTAATGAAAATAAAATTACGCTCAAATACTAACATATGTGTTTATGTATGTACTTGTATGTGTGTGTGTAATAACGCTGATGCGTGTAATGTGGGTGCAAGAAAAAATAGAAGCGATAAACTAACGCGCTACCTATTCTACTACATTAGTGTTGGATGCTTCCTATCTATCCTACCTACAATTAAAATTATGCCTATCTAACCTACCTATATAGCTACGTAATGTAATTGTGTGTGTGGGTGTGCGTGTGAGCATTCTTACTTAATGTTAAATTACAGATAAAAACTGAGAAAAAAGAATAAAACGTATCCCAGCCAGGTGTGTATTCTTTGCCACTGAATGAGTGAACGTAGCTTGACACATTCCATGATGAACTCCTCTGGAAACTTCAGCCTGAATGAAAAAAATAAAATGAAAAATTTTATTTGATTTAGTTTAAATGAAAATAGAAAATCGAGCCAGCCGGAAAAGCCAGCCAACTGGCAAAGAAAGGAACAGCAAAGAAACAATAAAACGAACCCCAGCCAGGCGAGCATTCTTTGCCACTGAATGAACGAACGTAGCGTGAAATCACAACCATTCTGATCTTCCACGATGAACTCCTCTGAAAGCTTAAACCTGAATGAATGGACCTAAATGAACCTAAATGATTGGAAAAATCTTATTTAATTAATTTAAATGAAAATAGAGAAACGCAAAGAAGCCGACCGGTCGGCAAAGAAAAAAACCTCAAAGAAAGATATCTATATAGGATTTATGCTCTATATAACTCTATATAACTCTATATAACTCTATATAACTCTATATAACTCTATATAACTCTATATAACTCTATATAACTCTATATAACTCTATATAACTCTATATAACTCTATATAACTCTATATAACTCTATATAACTCTATATAACTCTATATAACTCTATATAACTCTATATAACTCTATATAACTCTATATAACTCTATATAACTCTATATAACTCTATATAACTCTATATAACTCTATATAACTCTATATAACTCTATATAACTCTATATAACCATGCATACTACCACATTCAATCAATAAAAATCCCACTAAAACCAGGAACCACCGCGTACCTGTTGAATGTATGATGTGAAACAAAACACAAAACAAAAATCACACCACCAAGTAGAGTAAAGGAATAGGAGTCCCTAACCTACCTATGTAACTAAATTACCTTATGCCCTAGCCTACCTATATAATAAATTAATTTTTACCTCACCTACCTATGCTTCATTAACTTAACTCAAGACTCATGAAGAAAGAGAAAAAGAAGTAAAACAGAACATAAAATACTACCACACAAACAAACATGATGTATGTATGTATGTATTAGCAACCGCTAAAGAATCCACCCAAAATATAAAAAAATACAACATACAAACCACAGACATGCAAACTCTATATAACTCTATATAATAAAATAAATAAATAATAAAAATAAAATAAATGAGATCAGCCAGACTGCTTCAAGCGAGGCAGAATGCCTGATCTGATTTTCATGTTGTCTCAGCTTCTATTTATACTCGTTTCAACCATACATTTTCATCATTTCAATCATTCACATCAGTAAAAAACTTATTTGATGTATGTGGTACGCTATTATACAGTCTTAACGACAATGCTAACCGTACTAAATTGACGTCATCTAACGAACGCCTTCGAAACTTTCTGATTGGCTGGTTGAATCTGCTATATATAAACATATAATCTTATTAATTATCTGTATACACGGATTCTAGTCACGTATATATATATATATATATATATATATATACATAATATAAATTCATTATAAAAGCTACAGTAATCAGTGCTATATATGTACGCACGCAGTTCAAATTTTTCTGGGAGAATTCCAAATAGTTTGAGACCACACCTTGCTTAAAAATCCAAGCCGAGCCAAGCTGAGCCAATATGCGTAGATTTATAAGCGCTTTTATATTAAAATTTTGCTCGCTTTACGAATATCCCAATATAACAAATTCTCCATCCTATTTTAAAAATTTTCTTTGATGTTTTTTAATCAGTCAGGTCACAAAAATCATTATCGATATATTGCAATGAAATGAAATCGAAATTTTTTTTAAATTGTTGATAAAAGTGACTAGTATGTAGTAAAAAAATTAAATTTTCTGAGAGTATTCAAAATAATTTGAGACTACACCATAACACAATTGTACACAATTTGAATGTGTTATAACTGTATTATAATCGATATATCGCAATGAAATGAAATTGTGTATAAATGTATTATAACTATATATATATACATATATACATATATATATATATATTTATATATATTTATATATTTAGTTCTTCATTTAGTTCTGCCTGGGTGATATGAGTGAATTTATGTAATAGGAATTGAACACAACTTTTATACCGGCTGATTAACTACCATGCAGTAAAATAACTACTATTAACATGACGTCATTTCCTCCAACGATTTCACAACGAATTACCCATCCTATTTAATAAATTTTATTTGATGTTTTTTTTTAATTAGTCAAGTCACAAACATCATCATCGATATCGCAATGAAATCAAATTGAGAATTTTGTAAATTTTTGAAAAAAAAGTATCTTTATTCATTTTACGATACTATTTTGTTTAATAAGGTACTGTTTGATACATATAACTGGAATAAATCCTAGCCACCAGATGCTACAAGCCACCAGGTAAGAATTTAAAAGTAAACTTAATAAATATAGTCGTCTGTCTGATGCGGCAGGTAAACTAGTAAACCAGTTTTACCGATCATGTATTTTCTCAATTTATTATTAAATTTTGTATTATTTATTTCCATTTTTCTAACATGTTGCGTCACGTTTTGTGAAGAATCAGGTATTAAATTAAAATTTGTTTCAAATTATATTTTTGGTTGAATTAGTAATTTTTTTAAATAACAGAAATAACCAGTTTATAATTTTTTTATTTATATTATAATTATATATATAAGTAATTACTTATTTACTCAATAATGTTTATTTTTTAATTTAATAATATATCTAATGAGAAGAGGGGCTGTTGGTTGATTTATTTTTAATTATTTGTAAAATTAAATCTAAAATTAGGAAACAACAACCAAACAAGATGGCAGAAATATTTGAAATTAATTGAGACAAGTAACTCATTCTATGAAGATTGTGCTGAAAATGATGCTGAATGCATTTGTCATGAAGAGTTGGTCATTTTTACATGTTTTTTTATTCAATCTACTTTTTCTTTTGTTATTTATTAATTAATTTATTCTTTATTTATGTCAATTTTTCATGTTAATTTATTTTATTTAATTGTTCAAAATATGTATGAAATTCAGTTTAAAAAATCTAGATTTTTAAATAAATTGCATAGAAAAGTCAAGTTATTTGTTCAAAGTTGCTATTAGAAAATGACAACCTGTATTTACAATTTATTAACTAAGCTCAAACTAATAAAATTAGCATTTTTATATTTTGATCTCAAAAAGTAAATATTTTGTCCTTAAAAAACAGATTAATGAATGAAGATCTAGCCATATTTGCCAGAGATGGTGGTATAAAAAAAGAGATATTTGATCAGGCAAAACAGAAAGGGATTCATTATCAAGTCATCAACCACAAGTTATTTAGGGAGAGGAAATGTATGTTTCCATCAAGGTGCATAATTTTTTTTATTTATTCATTCTTTCATTCATTCATTCATTTATTTATTGATTGATTTACTTATTGATTTATTTATTTTCTGATTTATTTATTTATTAAGTTTTATTGTGAGAAATTATTGTATTTCATAATTTATTTTGCATCACTGTAGTTAGTTTCTTAACATGACTGATTTTCAAAATTTTCGAATTTTATCTTTTACATTATATTTTTTTTTGTTTCTCATAATTTCAAACGAAATAATTTGAAATATGTGAATTTAAAAATGACTTCAGATGCAAAGGGGTAGAGCATTTCATCTTAGAGATAATTCATGAACTACCAAATATGGAATTCATCCTGAATGTTAATGACCACCCACAAGTCTATAAGCATGGTCCCAAGTTCCCTGTCTTCTCCTTCAGTAAAGTTGTTAGTTTTTGTATAATAATTGTTATTGTAATAGATAATGGAGCATTTTTTTCCATAATTAAACATGGGAGAACCACCACAATGTCACTTAATAATTTTTTCTCTGTTCACTTGTTTATTCATTTACTGATTCATTCACTTGTTCGCTAACAAAGAGATCAGAGCATTATGACATCACATATCCTGCCTGGACGTTTTGGGAGGGGGGTCCAGCGGTCTGGCCCATATACCCCGTTGGACTGGGCAGGTGGGACGAACAGAGGAAAATTATCTCAAAGTCTGTAATCATAATTTTATGAATACATAATTACTCCATAATTATAGTTTGGTAAATTATTCGAGGTTTATAAATTTTCAAAACATTCAAAAAGAGCAGGAAAGGATCACAAATGGTCGAAGAAACATAGCAAGGCCTTCTTCAGAGGCTCTCGAACGAGTGCCGAGAGAGACCCATTGATACTTATGTCGAGAATTGAACCAGAGCTCGTTGATGCCCAGTATACTAAAAACCAGGCCTGGAAATCTGACGAGGTGTTTTGTTGTTGTTGGTGTTTTTGCTGTCGATGTTGATGTAGTTGTTGTTGTTGTTGTTGTTGCTGCCGTTATCAATGTTGTTGTTGATGTTGTTATTCATTTAAATTCATTTTTTTAAATATTTGTATAGGACACATTGGGCATGCCTGCTGCTACTGAAGTTAAGTTGGAGGACCATTGTCCATATAAGTTCGTTCACGTAAATGAGTGAATGAAGGAATGAGCGAATGGATGAATAAACGGATGAATGAATAGATAAACGGGTGAGTTAATGAATGATTGAACGAATGAATGATTCAATTTAATTATTGAATTCGTTCAACGAACAAACGAGCGAATGAATGTACGATTAAATAAATGCATTAGTGACTAGAGGAATGATCGTTTGAGGGAATGAACAAATGAATGAAGGACATGATGACTGAATATTCATTCACTCATTCACCAGGTACCTCTTCAATTTCCGAGGTGTGGCGGCCAGCTTCCGTCTGAAGCACCTTTTTTTATGCAGGTCCTTAGTTTTCCACGTCGGTGAAAAGTGGGTGGAATTTTTTTACCCCTCCCTGCGACCCTGGGTTCATTACATACCCGTCAAAAATGATCTCTCCGATGTCAAGTTTGTTTTTGATGACCTTATTAATTTGATTTTCAATCTAATCTATTCATTTTTTAATTAAATAACTTTTTATTTATGTGTTTTTTATTGGTTAATTTATTTGTTTTTACTCGTTTATGTTTAATTTTTTATAGGGAATTGATATTATTTGCTAAAGAGAATGACGACCTCGTCAAAGAGATCGCTGATAGGTGACAGGGTTTTTCATTTTTTCTTTCGTCTTTGTGTAAAATTCTTTCTAAATAATTGACGAAATATAATAACTAGTGATAATAAAAGATGAATGTTATTATAGTAAATCTATTAATTAGCAAAATGTAATAATTACTGAACAATAATTAATTAATTAATTAATTAATTAAATTTCTGATTTTTTAGAGGTTACAGGTTCATAAAGAATCACCTACGTATGCAAGATGTCAGTTGTTATTGGAAAAAGTTACTGTTGAGGTATGCCTTGATGTGTAAGTGGAGAACTGTGCCTGACCAATCTTTATTCGACGTTCGTTACGTCAGAGATGAATTATAATTAATAATTAGGATTAATTAGGATTATATTATTTAGAAATTATGATTATATATGTGTAGAGAGTGAGATTTATGATGAAAATTGTGTTGTCACTTAGCATGTGGCAGATGTGTCATCAGTGCTATTGAGTTATTTTATTGATACGTAATCGTTGGTCTTGCAAGATGATTGTTGTTTGTTTGTTTGTTATTCTTATCTATTTGTTTTGTTGTCATTTTGATGTTATGACCTTTGTATGATCACCACTGTATAATACATTAAATTTATGTTAAGAATTTCTGCTGTCGGCAGATTATTATTTTTATATTTATTGCTCTCACAATGATGGCTACATTAAAGTTCAAAGTTCAGACTACGACAAACGCTAGTTATTTGATTCTTACTGTTTCAAATTTTTATTTTCAGAACAAAAAAATATTCTTAAACGTGTTTTTCTTGTGACCATAGTTGTAACATCACCACTTCAACCGATTAACTTTTATTCGCCGACTCGAATTTCACACCGACGAGTGTTGGTACATCATTCATTCCGGCATTCAAAACAGCTGTACACGTATTGAGGATGCATGTATGCATTAAGTGTATGTAGAGTGCTTTCTACTGGAATAATATGATGATGGCAGTGGTGCTGCGTTGTATAAACATCGCGCTGCTCGTACGTATGCATGTAGGTAGGTTTGCATGCATGCTTGTATCTACGTTCCAATATACGCATCAAATGTTTTATTTCCATTTAAAGGACAAAAATGTCTTTTATTCGTGAAATGTTCGTTTAATTAAACTGCAAACGTGGGAATACGTGCTAACAATGCTATTTAACACCTTAATATGATCTACCTACAACACGACGGATGAATGATGCCTTCCAATTGACGGCCGTTCAATAAAATTTAATACTTCTGATCATTTAATCAAATTTAAGTCTTATTTTATAATAATCTTAAAATATTATTCAAAATTTTCGACAAAATGATGTGGAATCTGCTGTTGTACGTTCTTTCTTTTGTTACTGGATTAATTTTATATTATTTTTACGAAGAAAAGTTAGAAAGCGAGGATGATGACGACTCAACTATGCCAAAAACTGAATATAATGAATCTTCAAAACCAGCAAGTCCATTCAAGACGTTCGAACCCCGAATAAGTATAAGCAGTATTCTTAGCAGTTTCAGTTCAGCTGATGAAAAACAAGATGAAGCTTCGATAATTGAGAGGTTTTCCAGCTTTGAGGAAGTTACAAACGCTTGCAGAACAGCTGGGTTAGATAGATGCAACTTAATTCTTGGTATTGATTACTCGGCGAGCAATGAGTGGCAAGGTAGGAAGACGTTTGGTCAGGGTTGTTTGCATAAAACATCGGGCAATAAAGTTTACAATCCATATCAAAAAGTTATTTGGGTCCTTGGACAGACGTTGGCACCGTTCGATGAAGATGGAAGAATTCCTTCTTTTGGATTTGCGGATTACGAAACGAGGAATAAAACGATTTTCAGTTTAACGAAATCTGGACTGCCCTGCCAAGGGTTCTCGGAGGTTTTGGATTGTTACAATCAGGTAGTAGAATTGTGAAGTTTAGTTGTTTATTTTCAAGTAAAACGTCATTAGAATTTTCAAACTGAAATAAATGAACAAATACACAATCTACTTAATCACTTAACGTAAATTTCAGACGTGTCAGAGCGTTTATTATGGCGGACCAACCAGTTTCGTACCAATAATCGATAAAGCAATGAAGATAGTCATCAACTCTGACAACAACTACCACATACTCATCGTAATAACCGACGGCCAACTTCCTGAGGAAGAATTTTCAAAAACCCAGAAAACGTTAGTGAAAGCATCCCAACTGCCTCTTAGTATCATTGTAATTGGCGTCGGGGACGGTCCCTGGGACAAAATGCAAAGACTTGAAAACCCAGATAAAAGATATTTTAATAATTTTCGATTTGTTGAGTACCACAAAACGACAAACAAGATGAAACACCCTGACGCATTGCTAGCTCTTGGTGCTTTGATGGACATACCTGATCAGTATAAAAGAATAGCAGAACTAGGATACATTCACAAGATGGCAGACTTGAACATCAAACGTGAATCCCGCCCGAACTCCCCATCTCTCTCTCGTTCCAGTAGATTCTCACTTATAAACAAATTAAAGCAACGACTGACTGCCAATACCTCATCAGCCAGCAAGAATTTTTAACGTGCATTTATTTTTTAGTACTTAATGTGTAAAACAAAATGCCAAATCCTTTGTGAATAATTATATTACTGATACAACATAACATTTAGCCTATCTTTTTTCATTTTATAACATTTATCGATCACAAAAGAACAAACTATTGAATAAAGATTATCTTTTTGACTTGTTTTATTTAACAGACATCTTTTTTTACATTAAAATAAATAAAATGAATTGTCTTGAAGAATTTATTTCGAATCTTTGTTTTATTTCCCTTCTGCATCAGCCTTTTTGATGTGTTTGAACAGTTTCTGAAACAAAAATAAACTTACAGAAATTAAATTACAAGAAACTTTCATGGATGTGTAATATAATTTATAATATATTATATATTATAATAAAAAAATTATATATAGTATTTTTATACTATATTTATATAGTAAGTAGATTAAATTATCATTTGACTAACAAAATAAAGCCTTCTAAGTTGAGATTATATTTAGTTAGTTAAGTATTTTCAGTTTTTGAAGCCATAAAATAAATAATTATATATAAATAAAAAATAGCTACCTATGAAAAAAAACATAACTTAGTAAAGTTAGGCCAGTTAGAGAAGGGGAAGTAAAAAAATTCAGAAAGGCAGATAGGAATTAACAAGCAGTAGCACACAAGTAACAATATATAAAATAAATAAATCATTTTCATAAAATATTATAACAAAATCACTGACTCCCTGATTTATTCTCTCGAAAATACTGTCTGACATTTGGTCGAAAAACCTCTCAAAGACGAAGGCCCCAACGAGGCATGTCAGTGCAAATGTTGAAGTTCGTTTGAATAAAACGTTGTAGACCGAACCAAGCGCCATTTTTATCTTTTAATGGCAAAAACTTGCAAATGTACAAGGTCAAACCAAACGCTTTTCAAGTTTTTGTTTTTTATTAGAAACATCAAAATGAGCGATACCTTGTTTTGATATGCAAAGAATGTTACTTTATGGAAAGCTAGAACAATTTGCAAGTTTTTATTTTGTTGGATAAGATTTAGTTTGCTAGCTGGTTGGTTAATTAGTTGGTTGATTGATTAGTTGATTGGCTGGCTGGTGATTAATTAGTTGGTCTACTGATTGATTGGTCGATTGGTTGGTCGGTTGGCCAGTTACATAAGCAATAATATATTATTGAACGACAAAAGGTACTTGAGAGGTGAAATAAAGACGATCATAAACTGAATCAAACAAAGTCGCATGCAAATCAGTAAATTTTTATTGTATAAGACAATTACAAATCAACTAAATGAATCATAAGGACGATTGTAGATTCGTCATTACAACTTGGCAAAATTTATAATGCAATTATATATTTATAGATCCTAGGCCAGGGGTGGGCAAACATTTTGCTGCGAGGGCCGCATTGAGAACTATTTTACCTTTGAAGGGCCGCATATGTACTTAAATAGCAAATTTTTTCGATCCGGGAGAGAATTTTTTAAGATTTGTGGTTCCTTTTTATATTTTAGTCATAATGTCTGGCTGACAACCTTTTTTGACGAACAAGGCCTCGCGAGCCGCATAAAATAGCTTCGCTATTCGCTTATAACCCTAACCCTTTGTCCACCCCTGTCCTAGGCAAATGTACGTACATAAAGCCTACTTACAATGAGAGGAAAGTAAACGCCAAATAATGCTATGCTTCTCAGTCGGTCGGGCAATTAGAAAAATTTACTAAACTCGTTTTCACTAGCGAGAAATAATTTTATACTTTTGACAAAATGCAGTAACAAAACTGTCAAATAACGAAAACGTTTTAATGACAATGTATTTTTAAAGTGGATCTAACATACCGCCGCATATAACGTGATTTATTTGTATAGGTACCAATGTGTTTGGGTGGCTTATTAAGAAGATGACAACAACGACAACAACAACGACGACGACGACAACAACATCTCCACAACAACAAAAAATAATAATAATAGAAATAATAGTAATCTTTTGATGTTAAACTTTGAGACATGGCAAAGTTCACTGGCACCACTACGCCTAACCTTTGCTAAAATGTTTGACAACATCTCAAATAACAAGAATAATAATATTATAAAATAGTAATTATTATTATTATAATTATTATTCCATTCATAATTTTTTGATATTTTAAAATTTTTACGATATAAAATAGTTAAGCTGGTATCTTTGACGCTTTCATTCCCACGTGCTATGTCGTTCCAACAATCAATAATATGGATAAATCAGTAGGCAGCTATTTATTCACAATTTTAAATTATAAAATTGTTGGTTAAAAAACGAAACACGTGATAATGAAAAATAATACATGGGGAAAGTTTTTAAAACTTTTTAAGAGTGTTAATATCGGTGCTAAAAAAAAAATCATAACATCTCATTCGTTCATTCATTCATTAATTAATTCATCGATTCATCTATTCGTTCATTCATTCATTAATTCATTCATCGATCTTTCTATCCATCCATCCATCCATTTATTCATTCATCTCTAATATTTCAGACCATTCTACAGTTTTCAGTTTCAAGTATTTGAGTAGCAATTTGGGTGAGAATCAACTACAATGACGTCAATTCATTATTGAAACTGTATATGTAAATGTTTGTGTGTGTACGTATGTATGTACGTATTTATGCGCGTGTGTACAAATTGGTCACGTACACCAACCTACATACCTACATTTACACATATCTATTCCAGTTCCAACAAACACATATACGGAAGAATACACAAACATACATACATACATACATGCAATCATACAAGTCCAATGTTAAAAGTTCATCTCTTCATGTCTGTCTGTATGTATGTATGTTTGCATCCATGTATGTATATATGTATGAATGTTTGTATGTTTGAATGTATGTATATGTGTTTGTATGTGTGTATGTATGTAACTATATAAAGCCCCAAGCAGAATTATTTGATTTCAAATAATTTTTTGCACCAGCTTTTGGTCTGATTGCTTATATTAAATTAAATTAACTTACCTGTTAGCAATATGGTTAGATCAGTTTATTATTATTATTATTATTATTATTATTTTATTACATATAATTATTTCACTATGGCATCTCCTTTCATTACAGACATCGTACACGGATAAAGGACCAAAAGTATTTAATTGGACTCTAATAATTTCATTTATAACAATAATGCTGATGAAAATAATAATAATAACAATAAGTAATAATAATAATAATTATTATTATTATTATTTGTATTATTCAAAATTTTTCTTAACCGACAGCCAGAAGCAGGAAAATTTCTCTGCTTCGACCATGTAACATTTTGGGTGTCAAACGCTAAACAGGTATCCATAATTTTGGTCAATAATTAGTCATATGTTATTCATAAAATAACCGTAATTATCATAATTTATTCATTATTATTATAATAATGATATTATTTCTATTACAGGCAGCCTTGTATTATTCGGCCAGGCTTGGTTTCAAGGAAGTTTGTTATGAGGGGCTGGAAACAGGATGTAGGGAGTATTCGGCACACGTTTTACAGCAAAATAAGGTGTGTGTGTGTATGTGTGTGCGTGTGTGTGTGTGTGTGTACGTTTAAATGCGTGTACGTTACGTGTTCGTATGTACGTATGCATTTTTTTTATAAAAAACAGATTTTCTTCGTCTTTAAAAGTCCTTTGGAACCGGACAGACCAACCGGTAATATGTTAAATTAATATTTCATAATAAAATATAATTAATAAATTGTTAATTAATAATTATAAATAACAATGATATAAATAATTATGGATATTAGCTATAATTTGGTAAAATAATTTTCCAGAAATGGTGAATTTTTTGAGCAAACATGGCGATGCGGTGAAGGACATTGCTTTCGAAGTTGAAGACTTGGATGCCATATTCAACGTAAAATAAAAATTTTCTTTTGCTACTACCGCTACTACTATTACTACTACTACTACTACCTCTATTACTACTGTTGCTGCTGCAGCTACTGCTACTACTACTACTACTCAGCCAGTATGACTACTACCATTAACACCTGCAATAATGTTATCCATAAAATCATAAAAAACAGCAAAAGCCATTTCATCCTTCAAAATGCCAAAAGAGTAATTTTTAATACAACCCCACCTCTTTAACGAGATAGAAGGCAGTAGAGAGAGGTGCAGTTGTAGTTCAACACCCACATGACATCACGGACGATTTCGGAACAGTTAGACTGGCCACCATCCAAACATACGGAAATACAACACACACGTTCGTTGATCGTTCGAAATTTAAGGGTCTGTTCATGCCGGGATTTCAGAAGAGTTCTGTCGAGGATCCGCTAATTAAGGATTTGTAAGTTAAGTTGGAGATGTTTGTGCGTATGTTTGTGTGTGTGTGCATGAATGTATGTATGTATGTATGTATGTATGCATGCATGCATGCATGTATGTATGTATGTATGTATGTATGTATGTATGTATGTATGTATGTATGTATGTATGTATGTATGTATGTATGTATGTATGTATGTATGTATGTATGTATGTATGTATGTATGAATGTATGTATGTGTTTATGTATGTATGTATGTAGTACATTTGTTTTACCAGGCCAGAAGTTTTGTTGCAAAGAATTGACCACATCGTTGGGAATCAACCTGATCTAGAGATGGAACCTACTGCTGCTTGGTTGGCTGGCTGCTCATTCATTCATTCATTTATTCATTCATTTATTCATTCATTCATTCATTCGTTCATTCATTCATTTATTTATTTGTTCGTATGTCATTTTGTTCATTCATTCATCATTCAATCCACTCAATCAATACATCTTTTCATTCATTTGATCTTTCATCCATAAGACCATCCATCGCTTCACTTACTCCTTCCTTCATTCATTCCTGCTTTTTTTTCAATCCTTCATTCCTTCTTTTATTTCATTCATCCCTTTATTCATTGACTGAAAGGTACGAGAGGGTCTTACAGTTCCACAGGTTTTGGTCTGTGGACGATAAGATCATGCACACGGATTACTCAGCACTGCGTTCGATCGTCGTAAGCTGGAATATTAATTATTGTCATTATTATATCATAATTATTATATTGCAATCATCATAAATTCATTCATTCATTCATTCATTCATTCATTCATTAAACTGATAGTTCTTTAGAAATGTATTAATACAACTACAACTATAACTAAAAATACAATTATAACCATTATTATTAATAATTATAATCAAAATTATTATAATTAAGGTGAGCAACTATGAGGAGACGATAAAAATGCCCTTGAACGAGCCGGCACCAGGCAAGCGAAAGAGTCAGATCCAGGAGTACGTGGAATACCATGGTGGGGCGGGAGTGCAACACATTGCACTCGTCACTCCCGATATTATAACCACCGTACGTTTAATTATGGTCGTAATTATTATAATTATGGTCATAATTATTATAATATTGATCATAATTATTAGTGTTATGGTCATAATTATTATAATATTGATCATAATTATTAATATTATGAGTATATTTTCCAGATTAAGCACATGAGAGAGAGGGGTCAGGAATTTTTATCAGTTCCGAAGAAATACTACGACAACCTGAGGGACCGGCTCAAGTCGTCACCCATCGAAGTTTCAGAAGACATCGATTTGGTTTGGGATTTATTTTTGTTTGTTCTCTTGTTTGTTTGTTCTTTCATTCATTCATTTGTTTATTCATTTGCCATTCATTCGTTCATTCGTCTATTTATTCATTCACTTAGTCTCTCACCCATCCGTTATTTGTTAGTTTGTTCATTCATTCTTCTCGTTCATTAATTCCATCGCGTGTTTGTTCATTCACTCACTCTTTTATTCATCCATTCATTCAATATTTTCCAAATCTAACCATTGTTACCCACAAACCCGATAACAACACGTGAACGATGATGGCTGATGATGGTGACAGCTTCAGAAGTTGCACATCCTCGTCGACTTCGACGACCGCGGCTACTTGCTGCAGATCTTCACGAAGAACATGCAGGACCGACCAACCCTCTTCCTCGAAGTCATTCAGCGCCACAACAACCAGGTAGGTCCGCACTTCTAACGAATTATTCTTCCAATATGATGCATTGCCACAAGCAGGATTGTTAATATCGGGATATCGCTGCCAGTGATATTGTACTATCGATATCTTTTCATTATTGGCTTCGGTTTTGTGTCGGTAAATCTCTTTATGTCCGGTATCGAATATGATATCGTCGGTATTCGATACTCGATGCCAACACTTCTGAAGGTCCATGTATGAATGAAAGGGTGAGCGAACGAGCGAACGAACGAACGAACGAATAAATATTTTAAAATATTTTTTAATATTTTAATATTATCTGCAGGGTTTTGGAGCTGGAAACTTCAAATCGTTGTTCGAATCAATTGAACGAGACCAAGAGCAAAGAGGAAACTTATAATAATAATAATAATAAGTGATAGTAAAAATAATAATAATTATTATTATTATTATTATTACGCTGACGATGATGACCCAGATTCATAATTAACAATTCAAATATTATTGACCTATTTACGAGAACACTAATAAATCCATTTAAATGAAAATTAACTATTGAACAACAATTGACTCATGAATGGCATACAAATCCAAACACATACTCATAAATACACACACATACAAATACACATACATACAAATGCACACACATACATACAAATATACACACACACATACATACACATACATACAAATACACACACATAATCAATGAGATTAAAGAACGATTGATTTGATGATTTTTATTCCAATAAAATATATCCTCTGCCAATTGAATTGTAGATGATATTAATGTGTGTGTGTGTGTGTGTGAGTGTGTATGTGAGTTTGTGCTTATGTGTGTGCGTGCGCTTAAATATTTATAAAAATTTAAAAAAAATCGACAACATCCTCATAAAACCTTCTCAAACTCTTTCAAAATTCGAAAAGTGAATTTTCATCGCTTCCCATTATTAAAATACTCCTCGATAGCCGGCACGCCCTTCTTGCAGACGGCGAGGGGTGGATTAGTGATCGGGTTGTCGTCGATGACGCATGAGGGCACGAACCCCACGCCCCAGTCTAACATTTTCAACTTAACGAACGTTTTCGGCAGGTTTTTCAACCTATTCTGACCCAACCAGAGAATGTTTAAGCTGGTTAGTTGGCCGATGGATTCTGGTAGCCTATCAATTCTGTTCGATGTTGCTATCAGTGTGTGCAATTTTTTCAAATTCGAGATTCCTTCGGGAATTTCTCTGATTTTGTTGCAGCTGATGTCAATAAACTTCAATGACGTCATTTCACAGATGGCCTGGAAAACATGATTGGTGGAGATGTATGTGTAAATATTCGATTTAATTAATTTAATTGAAGTCTTATTAAATAATCAAATCAATTAAAAATAATTCAATTAATTCACCTGAGGAAATTTTTCAAAACGATTATTAGCCAGATGAAAGCTCTCCAACTTCTCCAAACTACTTAACGTATTAGGCAGCGATGTTACGAAATTATTACTAATCGATAAATACTCGAGATTCGACAAAAACTGCAATTCGTTCGGTATTCGATCCAGACTGTTCGTGTCGAGATTGAGAATTTTCAGATTGGCTAGGTGGCCTATTGTTGTTGGAAGGTGCGTCATATGATAATCGATACAAGCTTCCCTTATAAATTATTTTTATTTGATTTTCATTTACGAGTTTACATGAAATTGCAATTTAATTATTACTCTTTCTCATAAAATTTTCATTGAAATTCTTAAAATGAAACATAAAACATAGTGTTACACACGTTACTGACATAAATGTTAAAATATCATATAAGAATTGAGATATACAAACTACCTTTCGGGACTGAGATCTAGTGCCTCAATTTCAAATAAATGAAATATCTCGATAGGCAATTCATTCAAATCTTTTCCACAGAGTTTCAATTTTTTCAATTTTCGATTCGAATATTCGTCGGTTTCGATTCGCATTCGTAACTTTCGAATAACCGACTGATCGATTTGGCAACCCTGTTCGCATAGAACCGACATTATTGTTATAAAAAGTGATTATTTAATATATTTTAATTTTGTTACTCCATTTATGATCGAAATGTTTTATAAACTTTTATTATACTGCAGTGTGATTAGGTGTGAAGTACGGTTCTTCTGATAGTACATTATTAATTCAATATTAATTTTAAATGAACCAAATTTGTCATGATTTAAATAAAAATCTATCAAAATTATCTCATTTTCTTACAACGTAGCTAAGAAACATGCTGTAAAACTCAAAAACATTTGGTCTCCAAGAAAAACAACTTGTATATGTAAGTAAACACGTAAATACATATGTATACACATACATACATACATGCATGCATATATATATATATATATATATATATATATATATATATATATACATACATACCCGTCGTGTAACCATGGAAACCCACATTAACGACATTAATAGCACTTAAAATGAACATTTATGACAGTAATTAGCAAAAACGATTAAACATTTATAATGTAATCTACATTCTATAATCACATTTTAATAAAATTCCTTTAAAATCAAAATTCTTAAAGTTTTAGTTTGATAGTAAAAATTTAAATAATTGATTTAAAAAAACTTTTTAAATATTTTATTATATATTTTAATAAAATACAGCAAATGAATTATTTTAATATTGATTAATATAAATGTTGACAAATTAATTAAAAGAAAAAAAAAGCCAAAATTTTTTTCACTTCAAAATCTTTAATAGCAACGTCAGATGTAAACACTAAAAAGTGAACCTCTGCCAAGGTTAAGAAAGTAACTACGAAACAGCACCAAATTTCGCTTTTCAAGATGGCAACATTATTAAAGTATTTAACATTTTTGGGATTATTTTAAACATTTTTTGCTAATTTCAGATTGAATGAGTGCTTCAGTGAAAAACTAGCTTCATTCAACAGATCTTCAGTGAGAGTCAGATGCTAGCTAGTGTAGTAGTGTTAGACCAGACCACTTACAACCTAACTAACCAATAACCAATCTTTAGTTTAGTTAGTAAGTAACGTAACGAATCAAATCGGTAATAGTGTAAGTTTATAAGAAAAATTTAGTTGTAGGAGAAACTTTATTAGATTATTGGACATTATTCAATCAAGTCAAGAAAACCCCAAATAAATTAATACTTTTTGTGTAAATAATTTAAAATTATTCTCAGAAACACTCTAAAAGTGTTAATTGGGGCTGGGGCAGTTTATGTAACGCTGGACAAAGGTGCATGGGAAGTTAGCAGTGAACACGGCAGCAAATTTCTGCAAGAAGTTAAGAAAAATATTCTGCCTGAAACTGTTGAATATATTGAAAAGGTTCACTTTTAGCTTTTATTTACTTAAAGTTTTTATAAATTTTTTTCTTTTTAAATATAAAAATTAAATTTTTAAATTTAATTTTTTTAAATATAATAAATAAATATTTAAAATTGAGAATTAAATATGAAAATTATAGGCTCCATCAGTTAAAACCATCAATCATGCTGCCCTAAACAAGTGGAACAAAGGTTGTCAATCATTTATTCATTCATTCATTCATTCATTCATTCATTTACTAATTCATTCACGCATTTATTCGTTCATTTATTCACTCAGTCATACATACATAAACACATGCATTCATTTATTTATTCATTAATAGTTAATACATCAAGACATTCATTCAATCATTAATTAATCAATTAATTCATTTCATTAATTGATTGGTTGATTCATTGATTCATTCTTCCATTTAATCAGCCAATGATATTTTCACACATAACATTATTTACACAGTTAAAAATCATTAATCAGTAATTATAACTGAATTGATACCAGGAGTTCAAACAGTGTTCTCATTCATTGGCAGTGTGCCCGAAACAACACAGGAATGTTTTGAGAAGTTGAAAGACCAGTTCAAATAATTTCATTATTGTTATTTTTTAAAAATTTAATAATAGTTTTTATCATCAGTACTGAGTAAGGCTTGAATTGGAAAGATCATTATTTAACTCATTTGTAGCTATTTTTTATTTCAATTTTGGAAGCATTTCAAATCTACACATAGCTGATTTTGAGTTTCATTTCAAATTGGTGTGATTTTGATCATTTTTTACTTTCAAAACTGATGATAATAATGATAATAAAGTTAGCAACATTTTGGTAACAATACAGTCGTAAAACTGATCGAGCCGTTCGTTCGTTTACTTTACAGACATCCATGCTGCTTGCACTTGCGCGCGCACACACACACGATGGCATTATTTGTGATGATGAACTAATAAAACATTGAAGGAACCGGCCTTGACTTTTAAAAAATTCCCCGATTTTATGTCATTGCGTTGTCAAAAATGATAATTATTGTGACCCAACTAATTGAAGCATCAAAGACATTTTTTAGATATTGTATTTAATTTCTTTTAAAAATATATAGAATAAATTTTCTAATTGAAAAGTAAGGAGTGGTGGTTTTCCAGTATTTCAAACTCGAAAGCACGTATGTAGCAATAATAACTGATTTCTCAATAACATTTTCATATAATAATTATGGTTAGGTTTACGTGTACAAATAAAATCAGTTTTATTTAATTTTATTTGTATGCACACAAATAGCAAATCCAACCAGCCAGAATAAGAAGGTTTTGTAGTCGTTCCTTGAAGTTATTGATGTAAGGAGTGTGTTTAACATACAGAGGGCCGCTTAAAACACGGTTCAAGCGGCTGTCTGGAGGTAGTTCGCTGAGCAAGGCAGGAAGATTGAAGAGTTCTTAAGGTTAACCTACCGACAAAGAAGAAATTTAAGATATTAATAGTTAATCTCATAGCAGTTTGAAATGTATGCTAAGCTAAGCTATCTGTTGAGAATCTTTGATTTATTCATCTATTTACCCACTCAATCATTCATTCATTCGTTCTTTGATGGGTGTGGTGGTGCTGTGGGTACCTTGACCCCTGACGTAGCTTGGCAGCCTCCCAGCAAATGCCATTCACAATAGAGCCCTGCTCCTATTGAGTTCTTAAAAACTGCTCTTCCAGTTTTCAATTTTGCCATTCATTCATTCATTTATTCATTCATCCATTCATTCACTCACTCATTCATTCACTCATTCATTCATTCATGTATTTGTTGTTTGATGCAGATGTACGTGTATAAATTGTATTTTTTTAATTGTTTATGAATTTATTTGTCCGGAAAAAAGGCGAAAAAATGAGCTGTTCGTGCCGAAAAATTGTCATCGTTTGAAGTTTTTAATTTTTGATTGACGTCTTGTCATTAGCGGACCAACTAACTGACATTATTAACAATATATAACTTGGTGTGTGTTTGTGTGCGTGTGAGTGTACGTGTGTGTGTGTGTGTGTGTGTACGTGTGTTTGTGTGTGTGTGTGTGTGTGTGTGGGAAATAGGTAGGAAAAAATTAATAATTCACTCGCCAATCACATCTGGCGACGATTCGGCAGATTTTATTTTCATTGATGTTTATGACAACCCGTTCCATGATATTTATATGTATATTTATTTTTTTTAAATAGACTGTGTGTGTGTATATGTGTATGGTTGTGTGTATGTGGTTGTGTATCTGTGTACGTGGGGCGTGTGAGTTCTTCGAAATTCAAAAAGAAATGAATAATTTTTCAGCACGGCAACTGGCTAACCGATTAAGCAAATGTTCTCTCTTTCGCCAGTTTTTTGAGAATTTGTTTTTCAAATAAAAGTTTAATTCGAACGCTGAAATCATTTATTTTGTATTTATGCCCACACACACACACACGCACGCACACACACGTACACACACATTCACACACACACAAACACACACGCAGTTACACACACAGATACACACACATTTTTATAATGTCAGTTCGTCCGTCTTTTATTAATACCCCGTCAATCTTAGAAAATAAATTTTCCAAACATTGACAATTTTTTGACATGATTGACATTAATTTAACATGAAGAAATATTTTTACCGACCAATTTCGGGTATAAATATTTGAGTTTTGGCTGTAAATGTTGCTTTCTTTCCAGAGTTGTTACAGTCGTATCAGCAGCAGTTTCCGAGCTATCCATCCATCCGGCAGAATGTTCTCCAAGTTGTCCATCTTCCTCCTTATCGCCTTCCAGGCCTCTACGCGTCTCACTAATGGTAAATTTTACTTCTATTTTATTTTCATTATTTAACTAGGCTGTGTTTTTCCAGACAAAGATAATTTTTAGCATTGTTTCCAATGCGAGTAATTGAAATTTTCGTCCAACGTTCACTCCTTTTAAACACACATCCAAATCATTATCATTGCATCTAACCAGCTGCAGTTAACTTTATGGATCTACAGACAATCGTCGCTAAGATTGGGTCAGTTTATTTTCTCCTAGAGCCAACAGTTATCGGTCGTCATCACCTCTCAGTTCGCAGCCAGCCGCCGGGAAGGGCTTGGAGGCTTCGCAAACGATACGCAACGATTTGGTACAATTTGCGAATGAAACCGATGTCGATCCGAGATTGGTGCTTCTGGTGACGAAAGGTTTGGATATGAATATTGAATCATCGAAAAATTTGATAAATGCTTTGTAGACTGAATTACAGCTCGTTGGATCAGTACAAAGAGCTTTCGACGATGCCTTCAAACAACTGCTGGCACTCATCGGTTAATAAAAAGCTGAGTTGCTATCGTCTGAATGATGCTAAGGTCTGGAACGATGCAAAGTTTACATTATTTCATGCATTTAAGAGGACATGCTAATTAAATTCATTGAATCAATTTTGATGTTTATATTCGTCAATAAAATGTAGTTGGATCATTTTTTTATTTGAGTTTCTGTCTAAAATCGAAAAAATGCAAAAAAACTTCTGGCATCACCTAATGTATGATGCAAGGAAAAAAATACATGCAGAATTAAAATCATTTCGTAGTTGCGCTAAAAAAGACGAAAACACTTGCAAGCAACTATCTTAAAACATATGAGAACCGAACAGTAAATAAACTATAAATTAAAGGCGTAGAGTCTGACATTATCAATAAAATATATGTCTCTGCCTCTTTGTTTATCTGTCTGCCTCTCTCTCTCTATCTCTCTCTCTTTTTCTCTTTCTCTGTCGTCTCCTGTTTGTTGTCTTGTGTATATGTGCTTGTATGTATATGTACGGCGTGTGTTTGTGTGTACATGTACGCCCGTGTGTGTATGTGTGTGTGTGTATGTGTGTGTGTGTATGTGTGTATGTACGCGCGTGTATACGTAAGCACGAGAAACTGCCTGAAGTTGAATGGGATTAAGAGCAGCGAATAAAAATTTATAAATTTCCAAAACAAATTTTTACCTGCCTACATGGTAAACTTGGGCAATGAGAAGCTTCAAAAGACCATCTTTAATATTACCATTTCAATTGACCCTTTCAACATCTGAAACGCAGCATTATGACTATTTATTAGCAGCAAGTGTAACACAACAACACTTAATTGTACGTTTGAAACACTTGCATCTCAAACTCAAAATCCATGCAAGCTTAAGATAATTTGATGAATATGTTGTAGTTGTAGACTCGGATCTCCTTGCAATAGATTTGGAAATAGCTTTGGAAGAGATTCTAGTAACTAGTAACCATTTGGTTCGAAATAGTCTCATAAAAATATTTAATTTTATCATTATGGCTAAAACGAATTTCTAACATTACCAGTTTTCAATCTAACTCTTTTGGAAATTTAATACAGAAATGAACAACAATTTTATTAAGTTAGTTATCCAGAAAACATGTTCATGTAAGTGTGTGTGTGTGTGTGTAGCAATAAATCATTTGATCAATTTATGTGGTTTATTGGTTCTTTTAAACGTGTGTCTGTGCAGTAAGTTATGGGCGTGACTGAGTGTGTGCGTGCGTGCTAAAATGGCCAACTTGTGCTCCAGTATCAATTAGAATCCTTCATTGAAGTGGAGTGTCGTTGTACAGCGGTGGATTAACTCGCTCCTCTTAGATGAATAGTGATTAGTACATCCCACAACTATCTGCTTCACACTGTGTGTTTGTTTGTGTGTGTGTCTATGTATGTGTGTGTGTGTCTATGTATGTGTTTGTGTGTCTGTATTTGTGTTTACGTGCGTGCATTTCAAAAAATTTACCAACTTATATTTAAGAAAAACCTGAAACAAAGTATTAATACAATAAAGGTATGGATATTAATAGATATATACAAACACACACACACACACACACACACACACGCAACACACAAACAAACAAACAGAACGATTGTGAACATGCATTCATGTGTTTGGTTAATCCGGAGAAAATAGAATTTTAAGCGTATGGTATTATCTGGAACGTGTATATATCTGTTTGTATGTGTGTCTGTTGGTTTGTATGTGTGTTTGTATGTAAGCTGTTTTGTATGTGTATATCTGTACGTATGTGTGAATGTTTGTATGTTAGTGTGTATCTAATTAAAAATCATTCATTCATTTTTCTTCTGTTTTCCACTCATTCAATTAAATCATCAATATCGTTTACATTATTATCATTATCATTATTATTATTGTTGTTGTTGTTGTTGTTGTTGATGTTTTTGTTGTTGTTGTTGTTGTTGTTGTCCAAGTTAGGCATATTCAGCATCCACCTAGAGCATAGATCAAAAAGGTTTTGTCGTTGCAGCAACAACATCGAGGACGACTGTGACGATGACAACGACGTTGTTGTTGTTGTTGTTGTTGTTGTCGGTGGTGATGATGATAGTTGTAAGGTTGTCGATGGCGGTGATGATAATGATTGTTGCTGTTGTTGTTGAAGTAAACGTCGCGAAACCAGTTTACCTGCTTTTATTGTTTTTATATTATTATTATTATTATTAGTAGTAGTAGTAGTAGTAGTGGTAGTAGTAGTAGTAGTAGTGGCAGTAAGAGTATCACTACTACTACTACTATGATTATTATTGTTGCCGTTGCAAAATAAAACAGACAACTTATCAAGTGTTGATGTTTTAATCATGTTTAGTTGAATGTTAGCTGATAAACAGCAGCGGGACTATGTTGCACACACATACACACACACGCACACACACACACACATACGCACGCACACACGCACACACACACACACATATACCTAAAAGAGGATTGAACCCGTGTAAACCATTCCTCAATGCGAAGTCTAAAAAGCTGCCAAATATCTTGCTTGATTTCGCATTAAATCGGCTCATCACGTGATTTATCGGACTATAATTATGATAATTATTATTATTATTATAATTATTATTATTATTATTATTATTATTCACATGACTTGGTTGGTTTCCAGAAGCAGCATGACTTAGTTGACAGTCAACCTCACTGATCTGATTTTTATTATTATTAGTATTATTATTGTTGTTGTTGTTGGTGGTGGTGGTGTTTTTGTTGTTGTTATTGTTATCATAATTATTAGTCATGTGACTTAAGTGGCGGCCAATCACGTGATTGAACTGACTGCTGTTGTTCATCACGTGATTTAGTTGACGGCTAATCAATGAGTCGCCGTTAGTCGCCATGTTGTCGTCGTCTGCCGCCCTGATAACAGCGTTGTCGTTGCAGTTGCTGTTGTTGCTGTTGTTTGCTAACGGTTCATAAACATTAAATCCGAATCTTATTAAACTCGGATAGAGATGATGATGATGAAGATTGTGATGTGAAAATAGTTGCTGCTGATGGTGGTGATGATGATGATGATGAAGAGGGAGAGGGTGGAGATTGGAGAGAGGTAGATGATGATGATGATGATGTGGATGATGATGTGGATGATGGGGATGATTAACGTCTCCGAAGAATGGATGGCTGGGAACATTTCTGGGTGAGGGCCTGATGAAATTGGATTGAATTTTTTACTCAGATTTATGAATAAATTAATAATTTACTGCCTCATTAGCATAATTTATTACTTTACCATTCAAACATCATTCTCTCGTTATTAAGATATTTATTCATATTTAAAGAGTCTACCTACTCGCTAACGTATGTACCAAGGCAACTATCCACAAAAAATTTGAAAAAATTA